GCGTATATAGCGCGGGGCGTGCGGCTGACGGCACCAGCGGGTGTGCACACACACGGCGCCATTTACACATTATGCGACGAATTCAGATTGGCTACGATTGAGACTACGGCTGTGAGAAAGACTAGATTTATTTCGAGATGTTTCCACATACAGCCGTTTCTCTTTTTGTAGCACGGTGCAACACTGCACGTCTGCGAATGTTTCTCAGTTTGACAGTGGTTATTAGAAATAGTGGGACCTGGTCTCTCTCGTGTGCTGATTGTAACCACTAGCTGCGAGCTATACACCCGAGCGAGGCGCGAGTAAAATAAATTATATTTTCAGTCTAAATTTATTTCTGCGAATCATACGACTCCTAGACAGTTGACAAAGCGCTGTTATTCGCTTATAACAGTGCAGTGCACCGAGTGTTAGAGTTCGTCAATAGAACATTGATCGTGCCTCGTTGGCTCGCGTGCGTGGAGTCTCACATCCCCGCTTGCACTTGAACGCACAAATCTATTCTGCAGGCGATTTATACAACTCCGTCCTCGCTGTATATACGCGTAAGCGCTGCAACAATTCCTGTGTACGTGTTCACGCGCCGTGTGTAGGGATGGGCGTTGTATTTCTGTCTCGATCATCGCTTGTATCTCATCGTTTGCAAATGCTTAAACGCACATATAAATGTTTTGAAATCGATTGCGGTATTTGCAGGCGGTTCTACATGCTTGCCTCTCACACGAGTGTAATAGAATGAGAATTTTTTTCCTATTAATTCTACACAGACTTGATTCGTGTTAAATATGTTCTCTGAGTGTAAAGGCCTCTGCCCTACAGACTAATTTCTTAAGAGCCGCTCTCTGAGGACTTCGTGTAAAAGCAAAAGAATTTCATGAAAGATAAACGTATAAGAGTATTGTATTATCCTATGCTTATTGCTCCATGCATAAATAATGCGACGCGATCAAAAACAACATTTTATAATACCATTAGCACACGGCTAGGTGCAATATCGCTCGTGCGGTTCAACCGCAGGATTTTGACTAGCGTGAAGAAATCATGTCCGAGGCAACATAAACAAAAATCAACACAGCGTCTGATTTTGATAACTGTACAAATGTATATTATTAAGGTTCATACTTATTAACACGCAATACGTATGTACAATATGGGCATATTCATTGACGACAATCAGTTAATAATAATAATGATAATAATATTAATAATAATATCATAACATAAGCACATCTTCATGATTTATGGCATGCACAGGCGAGTTGAAAAGTGATTGCAAATATTCACACGGTTTGGGTCACGTGACGCACTAAACGCGTCTACAAGCCAATAAGAAATTGCCACGTTTCAATCACTCAGAAGCTCAATGCAAATTCAAATTTCGTTTTCAATGAAAAGCCTGTTGGCTGTTTCCGCATCTAAACATCTTAAATAAATACTCTCGTGCCAAAAACATCTAATATAATGTTTTTTAGCAAGTGTAGATTTCGTCGTTAGTTTTTTGTACCAAAAACAGCCACCAGGGTGCAGATTCTAACATCGACATAATATAAAATACTGACTCGTTTTGATTTGGTTCAGATCAAGCCCTATGTTTCACGGTTGTAACTGGCAACCTTCGTCGTACGTTATTAAACTGCACGACTAAGCGTCATGCCTGTACAAGCCGGTGAACATTGTTTTTGATTTCGTCGTGTAATCTTAATACGCGTAAAGGTTCGGAGCTTGTGAACCTCCCCCAAGGGCACGAATCAAAACGTTTTTTTGGGAGAAAAAATTCTTCTGCTTCACACAATGACCCATTATGCAATGAAGCATAATTATTAGACATAGTTTACAAAATGACATACCGAGAAAAACGGCAATGACAATGTATACACTGTACCACCATCAGGGTAAGTTACGTAGAGACAACACTAGATAATATACGTCCGTCATGCTGGCTGCATGCACACATGGAAACAGGCCTATAACTATGTTCCGAATATTGATACGGATACTGTGAGGTTATTGACGCGAACACTGCATATAAGATTTTGATTGTTTTTCACATTCTATTACCGGAACCCAATGTACTGAAGACTATAGAATTGTTACCCCATATAACACGTTCTCTTGTACGATACCGGATATCTTTAATAAAAACGGGTGGTTTTGCACTAAAGCTAAAGCAACGGTTTTATAACAAGTCGAATTAATAAAAACGTCGCACGATTTGCTTTCAGCCGGTAAATTTTTTGGTTCATGCTGGTCAATCTTCGTTCTCGCTTATCGCGCAAACACGCACACGCACACGCACGCGCACGCACGCACAATGCGCGTACGCACACACACATATATCAATTTCTCCATGAACACACGCACACACACGCACACGCACACGTACACACACACACGCACACGCACGCACGCACACACACACACACACACACACACACACACACACACACACACACACACACACACACACATACACACACAT